ACAAGGCATTGTGGTGGTTCTGCTTTGACAAGGCAAATTCCCTTACGTTATCCTGGTGGCACATTGAAAATGATCCCTCTGACATGATCTGCCACTGCTGGTGCTATATATGCAATTTATCACTGCCCATCCCTCCCTGATTTGCCAGCAGATGCCTTTGTATTTGCTGAAGTCATGTTTCTGGATGGTGATTACTTCTATTCAAAATGCAGCCTCTTATGTGTAAAGCAAGCTCCTCTCTCACCCCGTCCACTGTCACCAGCATCTGCATTTGCTCCCTGTACACCATTCCACCCTGATCACGGTCTTTTCTGCAGCCAAATCCAATGTCAGCTCTTGCCCCTGCCCTCTACCTTGCATGTCCTACTCATATACAAGGAGAAATTAGGTTGAGTATCAGTGGCATCCTGGGTTAATTTTAGGATCCAGTTGTCTGCTGCTGTCCACCCCAGTCTACTACTCAACATTGGGGAGCCCTTTTCAAAATCTTAGGTTATATTTTCTCATAATAAATCTCACAGACAGCTGAGGCCAAGTTTATCCCTGGGGCGAAGCCACTGAAGTCAAGTCTAAAAGCAAATGCTTAAAGAGACCATTGGTTAGCCTCAAGGGATAACAGTTTGTTTTAATCTCTAAGGAACAGCAGACTATGGATCAAACTAATCTTTGGTGTAGTTCTGCTCAAGTCAATGGTGTCCCACTAGGGAAGAAGGCAGTCATTTCATTGCAGAGCTTTGAAATGCATCTTCCTGCATAGGTTCCTGTGCTGTTAGTCTCAGCAGTACATCCAATGGTTGTGCAAGGCAGCCTTCAATTTAGATGTGTGCCAATTTTTAGATGCGAGTAAGTATAAACATTGGGCCAAACCCCTCCTTGGTGTAATTTCACTAGCAATCAGGCTGCTTCATTGACAGTGACAGGATTAGAGGAGTTTCATAATCTGAAGATTTCAGGAAATGAAGAAACTATGGTCTTTTGGCAAAGTGCACAACTGCCAGCCATGAGTCATGGCATTAGCCTGTGGGTTTATTTTCCTACTTTTCCCCCTCCCCTCCAACCCCCATTCTGATTACATTCAGATTCAGCAGAAAAAACCATACTTGGAACAGAGATGTTTGGCATGGGAGGGGAGGAAGCAAAGAAAAGGAAGACACACAAAGGAACCCATATAGCAGATGCATATATTTAATTACTTCTTCATAGTGAAGGTACTAGCATGGCAGAAAACAAAATAGATCTCATACTAAATATTTTGAGGGCGGGGGGGGAAGGATGGGAGTCTTCAAATATCCTTGATGTACAAAGTCATTCAGAGGAAAAAAAACAACTAGATGGCGCCTATTTGCTGGCCAGAATTTTGTAAGTGCATACCAGCTGTTTTGGTACCTGCTGCTCCTTTTTATGTCAGTTGGTGTAAAAGTCCTTCTAGCTCACAATGAGAAGGTATCATGCTTCATAATCTTGGGTAAAGCTGGGCCAAAACAGATTCCATGGGATAGTAGGAGGCTATACCAACATCCTTGCATCGCAATAAAAATACAGAGCTGGCACAGTTTTGGATCCGTGGCTGTTTTCAGTTATTTGAAGGTTCAATTATATCACTTTTGTTCATGTAGACTGGCCTGGTACTCTGCGTGCGCACACACATTGAATTGCTGGGACTACGCTAAGGTTCCGCTTCATGTGCATCTGGACCTGAATGCCTAATGTAGAATTCAAGCTGATTTCTTATTAAAGTTTTTGTCTTTCTAATTCAAATTACATTACATTTTGGCCTTTGCTTTTAAGCAGATGGATGCTCCTCATTTTTTTGTGCAAGGTCCCTTTTGTGCCACCATATCAGTTTGGTTCCAAAAAATGTTTCTGCATTAATGTCGACATAGATCAAAAGATTTTCTTTGCATGTTGCTGCAAATCACATCTCTGCAAATTTCAGTGTGGGAAAAAGACAGTCCTTTGCAAATGGGTTCTCAGATGATCATGTTCATGAAGCTATATATATATATATTTATATATATTTATATAAAAAAGACCTTTTTACCACTGGGAAACATTCACTTAATAAGCCAGGGCTTCCAGATTGAAGTTTACTGTGGTTAGGTGGGGGAAACTACTGGATGCCCTTTAATATTCCTTAAAAGTTCGTTGTTTTATTTTTTTTAAATAGTCTAAATTTACAGAGCTTTAAAAGCTACTAGGATGCCAGCCAGTGTGGAAGGTGATCAATTAAGACATTAAGCATTTTGCAACACATGGACTCATCTGCATTTCAGCCTAATAATAAGGCCATCAGCTCATTTTCAGGGGGCTGTTGCCTACTTCAACTCAATCCTCAGATCAAAGCGAAAATGTCTGCTTGCATTTTCTAATCAGCAAAGGGATGCTAATTTATACTCCTTAATGTGTGGTGGTAAGAGACTCCTTCAATTAACTGAATTCTATAGCTCAGAAAATAATAATAAAAAAAGGATACAAAGGGAGTCGGCCTGGAAAGGCAGAAGTTCTCATTAAATCAAAAGGTCCAGTATTCATTACCTCTAGCATCTGGGGCTAAACACTAAACATGGAGATCATCAAAGGGGGTTTAATGGGTTAAATTGAAAATATAATCTAATTAAAATATTAGATACAAGTAAATAGCTCTTTGATATTCATCTAAAGGTTTCATTAAAATAGGTGCTTGAGATTTTTATTAAGGGGGGGATTATCACTTTTAAGCAGAGAAACCAAGTTGAGGTCCCTATATCAGAAATATTTCAGAGTATGCTATGGACATCTCTGCTCACCCCAACTCATTTGGACATACCAGCATGAACCACGAGCGTAACAAGAGGTGACGGATTAAGAGGTGAGGTCGTGGGGGTGTTTTATCTTGGATCCACCGAAAGGTGCAAAGTAGCTTCCCACTGTTCTACTTTTGTTGTGCAAAATGTTTTTCATGTGCCCTGAACAAAACATCCCTGTTGAGTGTTTTCTCTTGTCAGAGTTCCCCGAAAAAATTGTGTGTCATAAAGTTATGGTTCAGCTCGTTGTGATAGATTGTTTTCAAGAATTTAGACTCTTGATTCAAATCCCACCGAAATCAAGAGTCTTTCGATGGCTTTCTATTGCTACATATCTTTGCAGGCATGGTAGTATTAGAGTAATGATGTAGTTGTGATGGTCCAGGAATGACGTCGAGACAAAGATTTTTTTTGAGGTGATATCTTTTATTGGACCAGCTGCATGGCTGAAATAAAGTTAGACAAGCTTTTGAATTCAAGATATTCTCTTGATGTCTTGCATTGGAAAGCTTGCCTAGTTTTATTCCAACTATGCACTTGGTCCAATGAAAGAGATCACCCCCTTCCAAAAAAAATCCTGGCCTCTTGCATATCTTTCCAGGAGCATGTGACATGACTGACTTGGAGTAGTTTGCATCTAAATACTCGAAAATCCACAGTTTCCCAGGTTTTCCACATTTAGCTTTTGGAGAGAGCTTGGTACAACTGCAAAGAAAAGTAAATTTTTGTGTTCATCCTCTTCTTTATTTCCCAATTAATTCTTCCACTGTCCACTTTTGCCAACAAGACTAAAAACCTTCCTTTGGCCAAAAAGTTGGCTGGACTCTTGCTTCCACATACAAGAAAAAGCACTTTGAGAGAGAACTGTTATTAATACATTGTCTTTTTTTAAAACTTCTTTTAAATTGAACCTGCACATTTGTTTTCAAGGGGGAGAAACAGTCAAAGAAGCATTGGGCACAAGTCCATTGCTCAAAGCTGAGTACTTCTAAAGGCCCGTACCTCGCTAACAGGTGCATCATTTTTTGCCATTTTGGCAGGCACATTCTCCTTATTTTTCTGAATGTATCTGGCAATTTTCACACCAAATATCCACAGCTGAAGATGCGGTTAAGAATAATATAGCTAAAAATAAGGTTTATGTTGGAATGGGGGCGCAATCACAGCTATAGTCCAAGACTACGATGCCATAACATCTCTCATGCCTGAACATGATGCATCTGATGAAAACAAATTATTGGATTCAACAATGAGCCTCATATATTGCCTACTTTCTGAAAAATACTTAGTATATCATTTTCAAAATTCCTCTGCTGGATGTATTTTCAAATCATGTTTCAGACGTGGATTTCTTTCTTTCTTTACCAAGTCAAAGAAACAGAAACATCCCAAGAATCCCATCCGTTTATTATCATCTCAGACTTAATCTTGTTAAAGACTGTTTCCTATCAAATATGCAGTTCTCAATTATTTTCAGTGTTTTCCTTGGTTACTCAATGCATTTTGAAACTACTCCAGGCTAATAACAGATTGTTGACATGAACAGCCTTTACTCGGTTTGTATTTTCTTGTCTTAGATTGAAGCTCTGAATTTCTGGGCTTGCTTTTGTTGTGACAATGATTCATTAGCCAATAATAAAGCAACAATCATTTAATTAGTTACTGTATCATTACTGATGGCTCTGTTTGGTTCACATTTTATTTTCTTCCTCACTGGGAGTAGTTTTTCCCCCCCTTTCTTTGGCTTCAGTCCTGGATAACCTGCCAGCAGAATCCTCTTCATCTTAAAAGAGAAATTATTACTGATGTTAAGGTCTCCAAACTGGGATGGATGTCTACTACTAAAATTTAAGACGTGTCAGAATTTAAAAGTAAACAAGCAAAAGAGACATTACAAATGTGTATAAGCCCCCAAACTGTCAGATTATCTGAAAAACATAGAATTAGCTCTTATTTAACAAAATGGCCAGTGCTTGAGTTCAGAATTTTGTGCATTCACTACCCAAATGGGTCAAATCTTGTCCCGGTCTATCCAATAGTATCTTGTTAAATAAATACCAACCCTTCTATCTAACAACTGTAAAAATTGCCAATCTCTGACAAGCAAATACCATGTCCCTCTTGGATGAACTGAAAGAAGAGCACTCTATACTAGGAATTTTCAAGGAGTAAGAACAGAACAGAGAGACTTAAAACTTTAAAATATGATCATATATATTGGTGTTTTAAAATAAACAAAAATGCAATTTGGCTATAATAAACTTGGTCTAAATGAAGAGTGATTAATCTGAAGGTATTTTGTGCCCTGAAATCAATTTTGCAATAGTAGAATCTCATAATTAAACAGCACAGCCCTGAAACACTGTCTGGGGAACAGGGAAGTAATTTAATGCACAACTTAAACAATTTAAATAGTTTCTACCCTGTACACTAAGTATTCAAAACTCATTATAAAATGTGAAGGGTTTTGAAAGCAGCCACAACTTCCTTCTCTTTCTCATGCCTGTGTTGCAGAGTTTCCAGGGAAGAAATTTGAGGTAAACTGTGTCCCCTTAAAGTCTGTGCTGGAATTCTTTCCTCTTTCAGTTCCTCGTCTGCTTGCCTGGCTGACAGAGGTTTTGGTTTAGGAATCTTCTTAGCGTATTCCAGTGCCTAAAATATCAAGATTGAAAGACTTTTGAAAAGCACAGTAAAATCAAAATGGGAGGAAACAGTCCCACCTATACAATTACAACGCTTGCCTTTTTGTTTAGGGCAGAGGGGCCTGGATGGACCATTCTTACTAAGAAAAGAGAAAGAAAGGGGGTCAGCTGAAAAAAATAAGGAGAGAAATCTCCTTATATTCACCAAAAATACCCTAAACTCAACATATTGCTACTTGCCGTTTAGACATTGGTACAACAAGATGAGGACATAAGTAAGCTGTTGGCTTTTGGACCATACGCAGTAAGAAGCAACTGGAGTGTTGCTGGCAGGTATCGGGGGTGCAGGTATGAACTGAGCAGGTTCAGTGGGCAAAGAAATCTTTGGTTTTAGGTGCATGGAGCACAAGGATGGACCCTCTGGGAAATAACCACAGGGAAAAGCACTCAAATACTTAGTATATAAAGCATCTAGAATTGTTTAAAAGAAGATAAAAAAGGAGGAAATCTTTTGGCACCTAACCCAAAACGATCTTAAGAGTTACATTTCCATGGTTCTCTGTGGCACACAGATGCTTGTGGGGTCTGGTCAGAAGCCGTCTGCCCGCGCAGCTGCTATTCGGTACAGCAGAAGTCCGGCACACAAGATGGCTTTGCTAATCCTACCTTATGTCTTGATGCCAAGGATCTGATCTTTGGTGTTGGTGGTTTCTGCACAGTAACAATATTCTTCATGTTGCGTTCCTTCACGAGCTGTGCATATTCCTTTTGTTGCTTTAGCTTTTCTTTCTGGCAAGCGCAAAAGGTTTTGGTTATTTAAAATTGTGTTGGATCAGTCCATTAAATCCTTTTTCACTGGACTTTCCTATTTCTTGTCTCTGATGCTGTTTCAAGTAGATATGCTATTGATCATTGCTCAGCATGACGCAATTAGAAACACTGATAAATGACTGGCAAGATTAGACTGCTACAATTCTTTTTTTTCTCCTCTCCCAAGAAACCTTTTCTGCATTGCATCTAGGATGTAGCTAACTGAAAACATAGCCGTTTGCATCTTTATTGGCAGATGGCTATTTCAACATATTACTTCCACTCTAAACTGGTTGCACTAGTGCCTTGTTCTTTTTTGCATTGATTTTAAAGTCATTCTGCTTACTTTTAAGGCCTTGAATGACTGTGGTCCATTTATTTAACCCATTTTCTGTCTCTTTATGTTTCCAACCATTTATTAGTAACAGACTTGGCAAGGTACTTTACTTTGCCCTAGTTATAAGCTAGTGTCAATGTTCATTTCCCCCCACCCCCCATTTCAGTGCATTTATTGGCATGACAAGCTATACAAGTGTTGTCAAAGTGTTAAAGAGGGACAGAACCTTCTGCTATATGGATGAAAGCTATTTTGTAGCTGAGCACCTTTCTATCTATTCCAATTTGAGATGCCCAATCCATCTCACTTAGAGTAAGGCTGTAGAAATCACAGTGGCTTTTAAACTGCTCCAGAAGACTGATACATTTCATCATTTTTGCTGCACAATGCCCAGTGGTATTTCTGAGAAGGATGCAGTAAAAATATAAATAGTTTATATATCAAAATGGGCAGCTGGGCACACAGGATGTGTTCTGTAGCTCTTGAGATGTACATCTGTCAAATTTGTAACTTGTAAACTTGCTGGTAGAGAAAGGGTCAAATAATATTTCATTCCAACACTTTTGACAATCGTCTCCTGTTTGGTGCAGTTATGTCTGATGTTTGCTTAACAGTGTGTAATGTGCATTCAGCTTCTTCCCTATTGAACTTACTCTGTGGTATTTACTTTCATTTGTTGCTTCTCAGGTAAAGCCACACTTTTTTCTGGCTGAATATGTAGCTTGATCATGTCAAAGTAATGTCTGAACAAGGACAATGAGGAAAAAAGCAGTACTTGCCTGCAAATGGATATATACCTGTCAAAAAAAAACAAAAAAAAAAACCAACAAAAAAACCCAAAACCCAGCAACAACAACAACCTAGTAGATAGATACTTCTAGGGATGAAAAAATTAGTGAGATGTATCTAAGAAAATTTAAATGAACCTGGAAAAAAAGAGAGACAGATGTCTCATTCTGTTTACAACACTTTTCTGGACTGACACATTCCCTGTAATGGGCAGAAATCTGGACTAGTAATGCTGATTTCTAAAACCTCTTAGAACCTGTATGAGAAGAAAATATTGTGCCAGCATTTAAGTCACCAAGGAGGCAACCTGAGTAATTACAGGCCTGTTAGCTAGACACTGAACCCAGGCAAAATAACGTAACAGCTGACATAGGATTTGATTAATCAAGAGTTAAAGGAGGATAATGTAACTAATGCCAATACATTTCCATGGGTCCCAAACTCATGTTGAATAATTTTGCACGAGATTGCATGTTCAATTGATAAAGATAATAGTGCTGATCCAATATACTTGGATATCTATAAAGCACTTAGTACCACACAACAGTTTGGCTAAGAAAGTAGAAGGATATAAAAATTAGCATGGCACACACTAAATGGATTGAAAATAGGCGGATTGGCCACAGCGATAACTAAGCAGGGAATCCTAATCGAGCATGAATGTTTCTAGTGGAGTTCTGAAGGGATTTGTTCTTGGCACTGAGCCATTCAACAGGGTTTTTTTTAATCAAAAGCCAGAAAGGAAACCTAAAATAATGATTGACAAAGTTTGTGGATAACACAAAGACTAGAGAAGTGGTAAATAATAAAGAGGTCAGGGCACTAATACTGAGCAGTCTTGACTGGGTGACAGTCACAATCAAACACATGTTTTCAGTGTGTCCAAAGGTAAGATCGTACTTCTGAAACCAGAGTTCAAGCTGTTCTCGCAGGACAGACGACAGCCATGAAGCAGAGACTCAAAGCCTTGGGGTCCCATTGGATAATCAGATAAATGTGAATTTAGTCATCACATGAATGTGAAATCAGTGTAATGTTCTGGAGAATATCAATTAGGAGCAAAGAGTTTATATTACCCAGTCCGACCACAGCTATTTGACTTGGAGCACAAATTAAACTGGGCAGTCCTATGGCTGCTGTTGTGAAGGAGTTCTGAAGAGATGTTTGCAAACTGTCCCTTCTTGCCTTAAAATCTGTGAATATCAGTCTACACACTGGAGATTCATGCAAAACTGGTCTTGAAATATATTATTATTTAGTGTTGCAGTGACTCAACTGTGTTCAACTGTGTGTCACAAGCTCTATAGTGCTTGCAGCTAAGAGAGAGTCTGCTTTAGTTTGGGGACCTGCCAAAACCTCCTAACCTAAATGGTAAAAGGGGTTTTAATATTTTCTTTTTTTTTTTCTCAGATGGACTTGTGTGCAGACTGGTTAACAGATAGCTGACTATAAAGGTATATTTATTTAAGGCAATACTCTCCTATGGTTGGTTGGGTTCCTAACACTCAGATGGAAAATCCCATTTGGAATTTAGTATAGAGCTTGACTCAAAGGCATAACTACAAGGCACTCTTTAATTACTGTATAAACTGTGCTTTCATCCCTATTGTAACCTACATTGTCTTAATAGGCATGACTGTTTGACATGTGAAACAACAAAAGTGCTTTCTTGATACTTACTTTCTCTTTGGCTGTTACATAGTCAGGTCCAAGGCCTCCAAGCTTCACATCTAGATTCATGAAGCCCGTTGGCTTGGAAAGCTTAAAGAAAAGAAGAAGAATCAAATAGATTTTCCTCCAAGTGTCTGCCTTAATACATATAGTTACCTTGACAGGGTAACTGTCCTGAGGAGGTGTATACTACATGTTACATTTCCATGGATAACAGAACAGAAGAAAAACAGGTTTGGCAATTGTAGGAAGAGGATAGAAGGAGAAACTATTTTTTAAAATAATGAAACATAGTGAACTATAAAGTCTTTGTACCCAGTTCAATTCATTAAATATTATAGTATGACATATGACTGTGTATTTTAACACTGTATTGTATTGTTTATGCACATGAGGGGCAGCAATAGGACTGGATGCTCAACTCTATCGCTGGCCTTTCTGGTTTATGATGATTTAGGTACGTAAACTTGAGGCTTCTCATTCATTTTGATATTCCCTTAGAAATCTCAATATTATATGGACATTTGCCAGCCATGCAGGTTACAAAGTGGAGGCCTGTCTGTTACTCTTACCTTTCATGAACTAGCTACTGCTAACAGTTGAATGCATTGCCATTTTTAGCTGTTTATTACATTGATGGAACTACCAAATAATGCATTATAGCAATAGCATGGAAAATAACTGCATTTGGTAATCGAGGCCTTCAATCGTTACTTCCAATGGTACCCGCTAAAGGGTCTTGTGCCTCAGCAGGCAATTTTGAGGTGTGGGAGAACTGACAGCAGCCGGGAGCCCGACTCCAGTGAAGTCCATGTAGTGTTGTTACTGACTTCAGTGGAGTCAGCTTTTTACCCAGAGTAGGCAGGAGAGGGAGAGCTAGAGATGAGGATCAACATACTAATGATATAGGAAGGAAAGTTTGGGCAGTCTGAGATGAAGTCTAATCTCAGCTGACCTAGTGTAAATTGTGAATAATTCAATTGAAATCAATACGGTTATGTTTGCTTTACATCAAAGCGTCTGGCCCTGTCATTTCAAATTAAAATGTTGCCCAGTTACCCAGGCTAGACGATCACCTAGCTGGGGTCGTTTGACCCCAGCATTCTTTCCTGCCAATGGCAGGGGGTCGGGCTTGATGACCTGCTTAGGTCCCTTCCGACCCTACCTACTATGAAACTATAATAATTTTGAATTTTGAGAAAAATCCCAACTAAAGCAGAGTAACCGACAACCCAAATCTGTTCAACCAAGTTCGTTATTAGTAGAGACGTACAAAAAACTAGAACTCTTGGTTCCAAAATGATACCTTTTATTAGACCAACTGGAAAATGTTGATCCCGAAAGCTTGCAGAAAAGGACAATTTTCTTGCCATTTTCCAGTTGGTCTAATAAAAGGTATCATTTTGGAACCAAGAGTTCCAGTTTTTTGTATGTCTTTTTGTCTTAGACCAACACGGCTACCAAGTACACCCCTGAAACATTATTAGTAGAGATTCTCTTAATTGTACTAAAATGAGGTGCAAAATACTTTCCACTTCAAAATGCAATTTTGGTGGTTCATAGCAATTAGGCACTCTAGACCTGGATGGCTAGGCAAATCCCTTCTGTTCCCTTTGACTGGATTTCTACTTCTGTTCTCAAAAAGGCCACAAACAGGAGAGCTTGGTTTAATTAGGCTGACTGTGAATCCAGTTCTTAATGCCTAGGTATTGCAAAATATACTCCCTTTTGCAACTACTACTGCTCTTTGGAACCTCACTTGAATACAGGGCAGTGTTATGAGCAGCCTCCATACTTTTTTTTTTCCTTCTCAAAAATGCAATTTAGTTGAAAATATTCTTTCCTTGGAGGAGAAGGAAATATCTGCACCATAATACAGCAAGTTATACAAGTGAAGTGGCTGAAGCAGGGAGAACGGAAGGTCATTGCCAGTATCTAACATTCCAAACATGGATCGGCTTAACTTTACCATTTATACACTGCTGTACAAAGGACATTTTCTAAGATATGGAGATTGGCTTATCCCAACCCAGCTGACAGCCTCTCTTCCTACTGGCACCCGGCTACAAAGCTTCTAAAGCTGAGAACTTTGTTGCATCCCTTTTCTACAAACAAAAGAAAGCAACCCGCATACATATGTGAACTCTTCAGGTAGTTGGGAGACCGGCTGTCTAAAGTGACCACATCTCAAATTTACAGAGGTGAAATTACAATCTGGAAGAGGGAGTGTACTTGCTGATCCCTTGTGGAAAAACTCGTTAGTGGCTGTCCATGTTGGGAACCAGAAGTTCATCTTTAATTTGTTTCTAAACATTCATTATGTTAGTTCCGGCTTGTCTTATGAG